GTATATGGTATTTTAATGTATTGCTTTTACAAACTTATAAAGCATATTATTGCCATGGCATATAACGCACAATGCTTCTCTAATCCAGTTCTATGAATCTGAGTTCTATGAATCGGAGTCTTTCATAATACACACACTTATTAATGATTTACTGTTTCTCTCCTATTTTCCCTGTATTTTCTCTACTCTTCTCGTGATGAAGACTTGATTATAAACCTAAAAGTATCCGAAATCACGCACACTATACCTCTTCTCTCACTTCTCTCCTCTTCAGGGCCATTCTCTCTCTCTCTCTCCTTTTCTGTCTGTCTCTCACACGATGAATCCAGTCCGCGCTGCGCTGCCGTTAGCCTCCTCCGCCTGGTTAACGCTAGCTACTCATCATTTAATGTTACCATAACGTCTTCTTCTGTACCCTCATTCTCCTGATCACGGGTCTGTTTAAAGATGGTGTGTATGGAAAATGCCTCAATAAAGATGCCTCCTCTCCTCTTTCTCTCGCGTTTTCTAAATCCACTTGTCCACTCATTTTTGATCTATGACAGATAATACTAAATACTAACGTTACACTACAGTCCGCTCAGTTTAGTGCGGGTTATTACAAAACTGACGTTTCCATGCTTGACCAATTACAGCATTCTGTTTAGTTAAAGGAAGAAAGGCAATTTAAATATAATAATAATATTAATATGTAACAGCTATTTTTTTCAGAGGAAATACAGTTGTCTGAGCAATATAGTTTTTGCAGAGAGGGAGGCAGCTATAATAAGGCTAAACATTATGAAATACCCACGAGACACTTGTGACTTTATATCACATTTGCATTATTTAAAAAAAAAAAATGTTTCCTTCTTGTTAAAAATAAATATATTTCCAATCTGATAATCTGATGGTAATGGGGAGAAAAAAAAAAAGTAGCACGAGTTCAGCTGATGGTGGATTCGAACCAAGTTTATGATTAATCGCGTCAAAAGATGGTGCTGTGCGCTTTATGATGTGCGCCACTGAGCTCTTTACTCATATTGTCTCTATCAATCAGGCATCGATGGACGTAAACCCTGAATAGCTTATTCCAACTAGGTGCGCTATTTGCAATTAGCCTAAAAAGACACTCCGAAATAGTCTTTTTTTCTCCCCCCTCGCAGGGGCCCCTAGTGCGCATGGGCCCCTGGGCCATTGGTTAATCCGGCCCTGATCTTCCTCCGTCTTGGGTACAGCGCTCTGGTCAGTCTTGTGTCTGTCTCTAAATGTGCTTTATAAATATAATATAATATGAGATTCTGACGGGATGATAAGCTTGGACAAAAGTATCAGGGATTCACGGTATCTTGGTTTTGTGTTTACAGCTGTTGAATATACTCTTTATAAATGTCTGAGTAAAAAACTAAAACTTTTTCCCCTTTGAAAACTAAATATTCTATTTTTTGAAAGATTTTTAGTATTTTGCAGCAGTGAGCATGTCAGGCTGAATAACTGAAATGAGTCAATATCTTCTGCTGTCTTCATTAGTTTCAGAAACACTGATTCCTTTACAAGTTAACACTACATCTTCAGATATGTTTCTGCTGGAGATACTGCTGTCCTAAAAACAAACAAAAAAAGTAAATAAAAAATCATACTCATACCCCAGGAACGGTTTTGCAGAAAATGTTTTAAAACCTGGACTTTTCATTAATCGCTAATCGCAATGTTTGAAATCGTGATTGCGGGTGGATTTCGATTAATCGCACAGTCCTACCCTTAATACTGTTAGAGCCTTGAGAAATCAATAAAGCACGGTCTGCTTCATTTGTGTGTGTTGGTCCTAATGTAATCAATTATGCTTGTGTCTTTTTATTTCATGTGTAAACACTCCAGATCAATGTAAAATTAAGATCTCAGGAAATTATATCCAAATCAAAATTATATAAATCACAGAAACACAAACTATGGCAGTGTCAGATTAACCAATATCACACAGCCCTGTCCGGCTCACCCATGTCCAGCTAATTTAAACCAAATGGACACCAGAAACTATAAACTCTGCTGCTTAACAAAGACTAGCTGTGTTTATTTATACAGTGAAGACTACGCAGAGTTATTGAGCATACGATTATTGAATTTCTGTCTCTCAATACTGTTAGACGCCACAGAAAACCCTTCACTCAGTTCTTATATTTGTTCTGCTGTTTTCATCTGTGCTTTACTTCACTTTATTTTCTATATTTCTGTGCAATTTTATGCAGATGCGCTCATTAAAAAAATTAAAATATAAATCACACAATTAAAATGAATAGTCATCTTGTGTAATTATCCTTGTATTGCTTGAATTAGGGCTGCACCATATTGGACAAATCTGACATTGTGATATTTTGCTGTGCTGCGGTGTGAATATAATTGGATTTGATGATTTGAACAGCTCTATTTGGAAAGATCATGGATTCAGATTGACTGAGATGAGCAAGTCTTTTTCTATCCAGTGAATCTGCATCAATTACCAGCAAAAATTAATAAATGAACAGTAGACAGTATTCAAGTAGAGCAAACGAACAATCGAATGTAAAACAGCACAGACATCAGTGTAGAAATAATGTATAATACTGATAGTTAATCACTTCATTATTGAGTGATCTTTAATGAACAGTCTGATCCTGCGATGTGACACACACACTGCGATATCGATGCTCAAATGATATATTGTTCAACCCCACAACATATACTCGAGATATGTTGTCGCTAGTGTACAGGCTGGGCAGTATATAAACACAGTTAAGCTGCAGTTATACAGCGCCCTTCACTAATAATAATAAAAAACAGCGTCAAAGGAAGTTTCAACACCAACCATAAAAACCAAATCAGTCCCCAAAGCGGAGGCGTGTGAGAGACTGAGCGAGAAGCAAGAGTGTGTGTGTGTGTGTGTGTGTGTGTGAGCTCTACATACAGCATATATACAGACACACGGGAGATTTACTGATGTGGCGATTCTGAGCATCTGCAGACAGCTTTAATGTGTTTATTGTTCTGATAATCACTCAATCTTCTTTTCTACATTATTATCTTTAACTCATGAGTGCTGCTGGCTCGGTTTCCTCCGCTCTGGGCTGATATTGAGACTTAATTTGTCCTCATCGTTCTCTGTGTTTCAGCAGGTGTGATGGTTTCTGCTGATGAATCTTATTTTGACTCATATTCTGCTCCATTGACTTCATTATATCACACGTGTTGACTGAAGAGCCGTGACAGCAGATCATCATACGTTACTGACTGACTGATACTGGATTACCCTGCTGCAGTTAATGACAATCTGACATTATTACTGCTGAGAAACAATATACAGACAGACACACACAC